ATTCTAATATATCTTAAGACTATATTCCCAAATTGATTTTTTTTAAAAGCCAATATTGTTTGTCTTTTAATACAATAGCAGCAAAAATGGATTGACAGATCAGTCATACCTCCACTAGATCTTCATCCACAGATTCCTTATTTCCATAAACAGACAACAAAATGTTCCTTAGATTATCTCTGCACCAACCGTGGACAATAAGATCGTGACATTCAATCACCTATTCCAGGATCACAACAACAACCAACTGAACGAAGTACCTTTCTTTGACACGATTAAATATAGCAGAAGCAATGCCTCTTTGCTTCAGTAAGAAGTCAAAAAGCCAAAGCAGAGGTAACAACAGCTTAATTCTCCAATCATCAACAATCACCTTGTTGTTCATCCCACCAGCACAATTTAACAGAACAAGCCCGCGAACATAGGACTGAGTAGACTCTGGTTGAAAAGGGGGTGAGACAGAAAAAAATGAAACAATATGGGCTAACCACCTGTCAATGATGGATTAACAAACAACATAAATGTTCCTCATTAAGCTGCAACAAGACAAGACTGACAAGTTACATTTACCTGCAGCAGCGATTACACAAGAAAGACTTCCAACAGAGTTCCCAAGTAGCACAGTCGGCCTTTGAACAATTTCATTCAGGAAATCCAATATCAACTGTCCATATTAAGTCAGTGGGTGAGTAGGACTGATTAACTATGCTAAAACACTAATGAGTCGGCATAATACAAATGTTTAATCTTCAAACAAGCCAACAAGGTCACAGATTTACCTGAGCCCATAGTTCTGTGGTATAAGCAAATCCCACTGGCTTATCCGAAGCACCAAAACCAATAAGGTCAATGGCATAAACTGTGTAACTTTGACCCAGTGTAACAATATTCCTGGCAGATCCTCAAAGTAAAGAAATATAAGTGAACACTTTGTCAAAATACAGAACTGTCATCTCTAGGCTCATATAATTATGACTCCATTTCTTTATACAACCTGAGAGTAAGTGAAAGAAATCATCTCTCATGAAAGAGGAGCAACATAGGCCATTAAAGCCTACATACATGGTTAATTTCTGTATACCTAGGATCAAAATATCGTTTTGAAACGGTCGAATCATCCGAAACCAGTGTTTTAAAAACCGGCCCGGCCCGACGGGTTGAACCGGTGAACCGAAGCCTGAACCGGGCCGGTAAATCGTTTAAGCAAATGAACCGGATAAAACCCGTTGACTCGGCCGGTTTTATAACAAATTCGGTGAACCAAACGGTTTGTTTCAAACAGGACAGTTAACTCAAATAATATAAAATGAAGTTTCTAGGGTATTTTTTGCCCAAATTTCATTTCTTTTGTTTGCCTTTGCCCTCTGCTGGTCCTCAACGCCGACCACTCCTCACAGCTTCACAGGTGATTCCTCCTCTCTTTCTCTCTCTCTCACACACACACACACTCTTGCTCGCCGATCGCTGCACTCAGCAGCTCAATCGATGGCTCAATCCAAGACTTGAACTACTCCGATTCGCAGAAAAGGGACTATTGTCCTGTGTCCTGTGATATTTAATTAGTAAGTGCTCGCCTTTGACTCATCTGTACATAAAGCATTTGTCTTTCGAAGAACTCAGAAATAATCGATGCCTTTCACTTTTTTTTGATATTTTTTTCAGTCAATGATTGAAAAACTGAACTGGGCAATTTGTGAAATTTCAATTTTTAGTATGAATATTACACTGGTTTTCTGTGCTTTTGTTTCTTAATTTTCTGCAGTGCATGCCTTTCACTTTGTGGTTTCTTTTTCAGTCAATGTTTCGAAAACTGAGCTGGGCAATTGGCGAAATTTGAATTTCCCTATTTTGCCCTGGTTTTGTGTGCTCCTGTTTCTCAATTTTGCACATTTCACGCTTCAGTTAGCTATTGTCTTTATCATGGTCATTTTGTTTAGTATCTAATATGTTTATGGATGTGAATGTTTTTCGATTTAGCAAGTAGACAATTAATTTTTTTCTTCACTGATATTGGTAGCTAACATATTCAATACTCTTTTGAAAAAAGATGTATTCATGTGGTATGTTGATGAGCACTCTGGATACTAAGGCTGAAACTGTAACATGTGTGTGTCTATATGTGGACCACTTAAATATCAAAGTAATATCACATTAGTCATTTGACAATAGTGGTAGTATTTGTATTTTCAAGTAGATTATAATTTACATATGTCTTGCTTTGGATATATTATGCATTGAATTGAATACATTGGATACATGTTTGATGATTTTGGGGCTTTTGTTTGATCTTATATATATTAATCATGTTATTTTCATAATTAATGAGATTTTTTAGTTTATTTATAATTATTTTTTATTTTTTTATTATTTGACCGGTTCGACCAGTGATCCAACGGTTGAACCAATAACCCATTGACCTGGTCCCTTTCCCAGGTTGATGTGCGGGCCGGGTTTTAAAACTATGTCTGAAATGTTTCCGTTTTCAAGGAGACCGAAATGAAACAGTGATGGAATCAAAATTCTAATACTTTGAGGTGTTCCATAATGTTTCGAAATGTATTGTTATATTTCAATGCATTTGCACAATTATGTTCGAATGTTTCAAGATATTTTGGTATATTTCGACCAATGTTTTAAAAAAATAATTCTTAAATTTTTTATTTTTTTTTATACTACTTTCAAAACGGGTCAAAACGTTTCCAAAACAAGTTGAAATATATCTGTTTCCTAGGTAACAGAAGCAATGGACCAAAACAAAATTTTGATTCTAGCTGTATATGAAGATAGGAGAAGGATTGATGCAACAAGAAAAGAAAATAGCCCAAGATGTTGGCCTTGATGAACTATAATTGCCGTACAATGCAGCATTTGGGGATAAAGATGCAAATATCACATTAAATGAAAGCTTAGGATAATCCCAATGGCTTAAAACATGGACATGAGGATTAGCATGACATCATAGTTATTGCTGTTAAAAGAGTAAAAATGGCTTTTGAGAAGATTTTTCTTTTTTATTATTTTTATTGACTTATGATATAAAACCTCATAGACACTTGGTGCAAAGAAACAATCCATGGAATTTTAGATTCAAAATCTAAATTGGGATGCATCCACTGCTGATTAAAGTTTGGTGTGAATACTGTGTCAGGTGTAACCAAATAATTGAATAATAATAGAGGGAACAGCCGCCAATTTTCTTTATATTGGACAAAATAAATAACGCAGAACAGATTTAAAAAAAGTTCTCCAAATTAGCCTAACACAACCAAACACAATATCAACCAAATCATGTGAAATCCTATTGAGAAATTTAATTTGAATATACACGTACAAGGAATCATAATTTGCAAAAGAGAAAGAAATCATGGAACTTTTTTTTCAGAAAGTGAAAGAAATCATGAACTTGATAAGGAAGTTTTACTTAATACTGCATGAAATATTAGTATACAAGCAAATTGCATTATGAATACACATTACAGAACTTGGTACATTTTCAATTGGAACAAAATTTTAATTTTGGCAGTCCAAACTTTTTGTTAAGTAGCAACTCAAACCCATTTATGTAGTAAGTTCAGGTTCAACAAATTACCAAAATTGTTTCTCCGTAACCATCTGTAGTTCAAATGATAATCATCTTGGTTACCAAGAAAGAACAGGCTTTATTGGGTTGCTGTTGTTTCCTCTTTGTTGGCTTATCCTTAAGGTGAACCCCAGCGACACCAGTGGGATTCAAAGGTCCACGGCTTTTTTTATTGTTTGAGGAAGCATAGGGTCGGCAAAAAGCCTGCATTGAGAGGGGGTTGCCTTAGCAAGTTTGCCCCAACAAATCATCCATTGCTCTCAGGGAGTCCCGCAGGTGAAGGTCCTTCGAGGGCACAGAAGAGGCACGACCCTCTTGTGGAAGTCCAAGAAGGTGACCAGTGTTGTCTAGCCATCCAGCGCCCCTCCCTCGATGGTGGTGGGTGGTCCATCGCTTAGGTGCGGCATGCGCCTGCACCTCTTTTGGTGAAGTCTGTCCCAACAACACACTTTGTTCCTGCATCCGATACCCCTTTATATCGTTTGAGAAACGTAAGTAGGGGGGTCAATATTTTTAAGTACTTACTGTTTTCAATCCATTTTCTTTTTCTACAGTTTTGAGTATTTGCCATTTCTTCTTTTCCTTATCAGGGTTTTTCTGTCCGAGAGGACGTCCCCCCTCCGGCTACTTTTCTGGAGGCTGAAAAGACTGTTGTTGGATCCCTTGAGGTGGTCACGGTCACCCTATCCCCCCTGCCATGGGTAACATGGTCACAGGGGTCGCGATGGGTGAGTTGCCCGTGAACATCTGTTAACACGGTGGCTGATATCCCTTTATCTCACGTGATCAACTAACTCTTTGTATTTATCTAGGTTCAATCAGTGAGCAAAGTACCAGGGATTCCAACACTATTGCCTTAAGTCCTTGCACCTGCCAATAACCCTTCCCTTCCAAGGGACCCTAAGCTCGACTTGAATCAACCTTCTCTGATTAGGAACGGAGAGCAGTACGCGCCTACTTTTTTGAGTATTGGTTTTGTTGCGATTGATTGGCTTTGATCCTCTCTATGGTTCTAGTTATTGTGTTAACTGCATGTGCCTATTTTTCCTATTCTAATTGGATTGATTTCCATTTCCGTTTATACGTTAATAAGAGAGGCATTTATCGAGGGTTGTGAGACCCCCTCGACCCTGTATATCCCAATATAGGCTCAAAAGAAAGCATTTTCTCAAGACTGAGATATGACCCCCCTACAGCCTATCTTCCGGTGCGCTTGTTAGTACTCCCACAATGAGTGTTGGCACTACGGGACAGCCTGCTAATGTCGATGCTGGTGAGGAGGGCAATCTGGAGCCCATTCTCTCTTCCGAGGGAGGGGATGCCTTTGACGAGCGTATCCCTGCCCCTCCCTCCGAGATCTAGAAATCCCTGAGGTAAACCTTCCTCTTCATTGTTTGACACCTGGTAAGCATGAATGCTTTCAAAGTATATTTGGTGGTTTCTTCTTCGGTGGTATTACATCTCTGAGTACAACTCCATCAACATTGGCCCCTTCAACACCCCTTTCAACTCCTCCCTGAGTTCCACTTCCATCCTGCATCGCGGACATTTATGGTGTTTCTGTCGACATTGTTGCCCCAGCCTGCACCGCTTCAGTCCCTCCTCTTAGTACACTCCCCTTGTTCCTCCAGGTAGAGCTTCGGGCGCTTCTTCACTACTAGTCCCTCCAGCAGGAGTTTTGGATATTTCCCCACTGTCAGTTCCTCCATTGAGCATTCCATCCATTCCCCCAGCACGTATACATCCCTCCACCACCAGTCCCCCCCTTGAGCACTCCATCCATGCCTTTGGCAGGTGTTACAGACATTTCATCACTACCTTTTCCAAACATCCCTTCTAGTACCAACGCCTTTAATCCCTTACGGCGGCGGGGACCCACTATTGGCCTGACTTCTCATGTTGCTCAACACACTTTGCTTGGGTGTTCAATTTTCCACCTTCCACTCTCCTTGCACTAGCTTCCACTGTGCTTACTTTGAAGCAGACTATGAGCATTGCCACAACCACCACCGGGGTCCCCGAGGAGGGTGGACCTTCACATCCCCTCACAATTGTAGGCCAACCAAGGATCAAAAAATCATTTCGGAGTACCGATTTGAAAACGTTTTGAAAGCGCAAAAAAAAATATGGAAACACAAGAAAATACAAATACAATTCATTTATTTATAATGATAAACTTAATATTTGATTAATATAGCATGTTTAGTATTTACATGCTATTATAATACTAATTTACTAATTTAAATTGTGTCATTAAATTAATAATTAATATTATTTCATTAATATTAAAATCATTGCATAAATAATTTTTACACACATAAATACTTAATTCTAGATATTTAACAAACAAGGTATATACCGTAAAATAAATTGCAGCTATTTAAATACCAATTTAGTAAATAATAATAGCATACAAGAATAATTGGAAAAAAAAAGTGGGGATTATAACAAGGGTTATTTGATAAAAGAAAAGGGGCACATTAAATTAATTATAACTTATAAGCTGAAAAAAAAAATAAAGATAAAAGGAAAAAAAAAAGAGGGCCACAGTTTTAAGAGACAGCATAAATCTACACGAGAGAGAGAGAGAACAAAGTCGTCAACTCAGACAGATGATGCTGAAACAGGAGAGGGAGAAAGAGAAAGAAAGAGATCTGCTCAATTCCGTCGATGAAGACCCAACAGAAAGGACCCAAGCCCAACAGAGAAGAAGGAAAAAAGAGAGAAGGAAGATAACTAGAGCCTTAGCTAGACTATGGGAGTGGAGGGAGGCTTAGATCTGAGCAGATCTGGACTCAAGGAAGTACGCTTCTGAACTCTTCTCCTTCAATTTCTTCTGGGTGTGTTCTATCTCTGTCTTTCTCTCTCTCCCTCTCTCTACTATTACCCATGTTTTGCACCTTTGCTGAAGATATTCCCTCTTCTCTATCTTTCTCTTTTGTTTTGGGCTTGAAGGAGCAGTGATTTCTAAGGAAATCTCATATTTGTGATAGGTTTCTAATTGGCGTGGAGTGAAGTCAAATCAAGCCACTGTTTTGAGCGAAACGACACTATTTCGATTGAAGCGGTGACGTTTCTCCCGAAACTCTAGAATTTTGGGATTCCACCTCTGTTTCATGTCGATGTGTTGAAAACCCGAAATGTTTCAGACGTGTCAACACGAGATTTCAATCCTTGAGGCCTACCTCTGTTCCCCACTATGACGGCCCAAGTCGAGGAGAAGATGTTGTGTGGCTTGCCAACTACTTGACCACCTGACAGAGCATCCCTATCGTGGGCAAGTTGATTGAGTACTTCCCTACGATACTCTGTCATTTGTCTAGTCGTATAGTCAATCCTCGACTCTAGAAGAAGTAATGGTGTACACCTACTCATGGTTCAAGCTTGCAGTATTTATCAACTCGAAGGATCCTGAGACACATCATTTGCGACATCATGACATGGTATTGGCCAAAACGCTTAAAACGCAAGATAAAAACCCAAATTTTTTTGAAAAAAATCATGAAAAATTATAAAAATTATAAATATCTTCAATCATGCATCATGCCCCAAAAATACATTATTTAACACATTAAGTAGTGAAAAGGAATTATGAGGGCATTACCGGTAATGTTATCGCTCCACCTTTTTTTCATCGTAACGCAAAGGGATAGCGATCGCACACCAAATACTGCGCAGTTTGCTCGTGCTCTCTCTGTTCGTATCCCTTTCTTTGTTCATCTCCCCCTCTCTTTTCTTCTCTCTCTATATATGACTAAGACCCAAAGTATCCATGCCCTTTTTTCTTTGTCTTGATTCCTTATGTATGTATCAATTTTGATTCTTTTTTTTTCTAATTATTTTTTTCTATTATTTATTGAATAATAAATTTGGAGTTAAACTCATGAAACTGACACTTTTATTAATTTTTTTTTTTGTATATGTAATTTTTATATAATTACTACACACATTATGTAATTGCATATATATTACATGGACAAAAATATTTTTTGCATTTTTCCAAAAATCTAGAATTAAAAGTTAGATTAGATCATATCTACAATAATATATATATCAAATTTATAATTGATAGTTAGACATTTGTTTTTCTTGTTTTTATTTTAAATTTGCTTAAAATATAGTATTAGTTTCAAAATAATTATAGTAACATATACGTAAAAGTAAGGATGTCAATCGTGTCGTGTCGTGTTCGTATCAAGACCCATAAAAAAAATCTATTTAATGTGTTCTGAGTATTAAACATTAGTCTAGATTATTTATTATGTATAATTAATAATCGTGTTAATTTTATAATCATTCGTATCGGGTTCGTATCAATGGGTCAGAGCTGACACCCTTACTTAAAAGCTTAGTATGTTTTTAAATGATGATAAATATTTCCGGTAATGCTCTCGAATTCCTTTTCCCTATGTTTAAACTGTTAACTAATGTATTTTGGAGATACAATGCATGGAAGCTGATATTAATATGTTCTAAATTTTTTCATATTTTTTCATAAATTGTCTATCTAGAGTTTTGAGCGTACCTAGTGACACCGTGACCGATGTCTCAGTGCCCTCTGAGTCGATGATCAATACTGCGACCTTGAATCATGAGGATGATCAACATGATCTATCAGAGAACAATGTCTGGTTACGTCTGATTCTCCAATCTAAACTTGGCTCTCTCTCTTTTATGCTTACTTTATGTTTTGCTTGCCTCACATGCCATATCTGATACAAGAAAAATGGCACCCCACCTCGTGGTCAGATCAACAATTATCATCATGGGCCTGGAAACTTGGGTCCTTTGACACTTATGATTCTCCATCGGTAGAATAAATGGACAGTTTGACTTCATTTTTAATCATCAACCTTGTGAGTGATGACCACATGCTTGTTGAATAAACTCACCTTTGCAATTAGGGAGAGTTCCCTTTATAATCAATTTTTTATGACTCCATAAACACTTGGTGGCAGTCACATGATTACTTTTTGAGACTCTTTGGGACTTTTCCCACAATGCCATCATCTCAAAAGACAACAACTTAATCACAAGGCCATTGGGAATGTATTTGGTATTGTTTCTAGTTTCAGCTGCTATTCTTAATGATGAAGTCCTTAAATTTTTGGGAAGGAGTATAAGCCGAAAAATAAAGTGAAGACAGTTTAATTATGCTTTTAGGTTTACTCTTGTCATGATTCCTAAAAGCTATGTACTGGGGATGTCTGGTCTTTGTATCATCATCTTGGCTTCTTATGTTGGGTTTTATGCTTGCTACTAAAGTGTTTTGTAACTTCCAGTGGCAATCGAAGTTAGTTCTATGTTTCAACAAAGGTTTTTAAGTAGAAATTGACCAAGAACTCTTCGATGTAGAAAAAAAGAAGAAAAAGAACAAATATTCTAGGTCAAAGGTCCACGTGCAATGCACGGGTACGCCATCTAGTGACAACGAAATGAATAAATTTAAAAAAAATAAAATAAAATAAAAAACGATACATAAAAGATAATAAAAGGCGTGGCCAGATTGGTTTCGGTCACAGAGAGAGAAAGAGATGGAGAGCAAGAGTCGAGGGAACCAACACGAAGAGAGAGATATCTGAGAGACACATGAAGACGGGAACGATGATTCTAGCGATGGTTGACGATGATCTCAGAGACGTTCGACGACACTTTAATATAGTTTTAAGATTTGTAAAAACTTTGATCTGTGATCGACCAGAACCTTGGGTCTTTGCTACAAGGAAGAAGAAGGGGATCCCTGATTTACAAGTTTGTGTTATAAATTTTTTCAATTCATTATTCTATATGTATAATGGCAAAAAAGGTATATTTTTTAATCAATTTTTGTTTGGATTTTGATTGCAAGTTGGGTCTTTTGTACTTCATCTATTTTGCCTTTCTTTTTTTTTTTGGGTATTTTCAATTGTTGTCTGAGGGATGAACAATTCAATGCAAATCAGTCCAACTCGGAGTCGGATTGGCCGATTTGAAAGAGATGAATCTGAGTTTTGTCGAGTTGTACCATTTCGCAACCAATACCAATTGAACTCATGTTTTTTTGTACCAGGTATCGAAATCGTATCAATGGTGACCAAGTCGTATCAGACTCAATCTATACTTTGGTCCCCACGGGAGCTTAGCCCTGACGAAATTTTTGATTAGGTGAGCATAGTGCATGATTTGTTGGCTTTTGGGATCACCATTCTGATTATAGGGGATCGTGTCGCCAAGGCTTGAAGTTTGAATGAGCGGGAACATTTGCCACATAGTTCAAGGTCACAGTATCAACCTTTGACTAGGGGTCACTAAGACACATCTGTCGCGATGTGGCAGCACGTTATCAGCCAATACGCACAAAAGACTAAATAGAAGGTCCAAAAATTTTCAAAAAAATCATCAAAATTTTTATAAAAATATAAATACCAATATTAATACATCATACGTTGAAAATACATTTTCTAACACATTAAGCATTATGAAAATTAATTATAGGGTCGGTACTGAAAATATCAATAACTAGGGATAACCCGTGCCTGAAGACACATGAATGAAGATCCTAGAGAGAGAGTGAAGAGTGCGAAGAGAAATGTAAAATTTAATGGGAATGATTTTAAGAGAGATGTTGGTAACTATTGAATGAGTCTATTTGAAACCGTCGGATGGACTTATAAAAATCTGCCCTGTTTTATATTATAGAATTATAAGTGTTCTTTTTCTTTTAACAGAATAATCGCAAGTGTTTAATGTAAGCATTTAATAATATATTATTCTTTTAACAAAATAATCACAAGTGTTTC